ATTACTATTTTATAGTTTTTTATTGTAAGCCGCCCAAAGTCATGTCTTTCACCCTTGCCTCAGTCCTCAAATGCACATTAAAAATGCCATGTTTTTAAAACCTTCTGGAATACTAGGGGTGCAGTTCTTATATTTGGTGGGAGGACATTCCACAGGGAAGGATCTCATGCAGAGAATGCTTGTCTTTCAGTCCCTTCCTATTGCATCTCTCATGGGGTGAGGACTGTTAGTAGCACTCTCCATAAGCACGCTGGGTGAGCAGATTTGATTTGGAGCAGGAGGCCTCAAAGATAGCCAGGCCTCAAGCCATGTAGGGCTTCAGAGGTGATCACCAGCATCTTGAATTACACATGGCTGGAACAAACTGGTAAACAATGCAGTTGGAGTATTAGTGTTATATGACAATATCGGGTTGTCTTGGTTAATATGAAAGGGATTGCATTTTGTACTAATTGTAGGTTCTAGGTGGTCTTTAAGGGCAGCCCCATGTAGAGTGCATTATAGTAGTCCACTCTTGAGGTTACAAGAGCTTGAGTCACTGTAGTCAGCATTGTCTATTCTAAGGTTGCAATTGGTGTATCACCAAAGCTGGGCAAGGGCCTTCCTAGCTACAGCTTTCACTTATTGTTCCATTAGTTGCTAAGTGCATGCCCAGGAGCATCTCCAAATTTTATAGCAGCTCTTTCTGGGGAAGCACAACCCCATCTAGAGGTATAGTTGGTATTGTCCCAGAGTCAGTCAGCTTTTGAATCCTCAGCCACTCCATCTTAACACAAAAAGGAAAAAAGTATATGGTTCTATTGTAAAGGATGCAACAGTTCCTATGAATCAACTAATTAAAATCTGTTGAAATATTCAATCATATAAAATTGTAAATAAGATTGTATATGTATATATTAATCTAGGGTAATCAGCAGGAACATTCTCTTAACTGAATTAAGAAAATTTAAACTAAATACAGAATTGACAGATTGAATCCTTCACACAATCATGAGTAGCTTTAGAGTTGTTTCATAACTGATAAAGCTACATCTCTGGTTTTTGAAGAATGTTAGGATTGGATAACCAATTTCTCATGGCGTACTCTGTTTTTTGCAAATAAGATTAACAAGAGAATAATACACTATTCTTTACAGCATATTAACATGCTACTTGTCTTTTTTAGCGACCTCAATCTTCAGTTGAAACCAAGACTTTGACGCCAAAGTTTGACTTGCTAGCCTCAAATTTCCCTCCCTTGCCAGGCAGCATGATAAAAACACAAGGAGATCCTGTTCTGGAGAATAGGATGTCAGATATAGTTAAAGGAATAAGCAAAGAAAAGGTACTTACTTCTAATATTCATTGTTTTCATATTCTCTCTTTCAGAATAAATTTTAATCTTGCATGGCATTTTTTATCTGTATATTGCTTGACAGTGTTACACTTAATTCATTCCCACTACAGTTCCTTGAACCCAAAAAATGAAATGTTATTTTATTTCTATTCTTGGATATACTGATATGGGGATATGATGAATAAAAACACCTTATAAATGAGCAAGAGCAAAACTGATAGCTATTGCAAAAGTTGGTTTTGCTGTATTTCATATATATGTATTGTAAAATTCAAGCCTTAGTACATTTTGGGCTTTCACCAGTACAGTGTAGGAAAATGAAATTTTATTCTAAGGTGCTATTTTCACATCCAGCCGTAAGCAAAAATTGTTGAAAAACTTGGCTTATAGTTCTTCAGTAGCATATTAGTGCCCAATTACAGGGAGTCCTCACTTAATGACTGCAGTTGGGACCAGCAGCTCCTTCACTAAGCGATGCAGTTAAGTGAAACATCACATGACCATGCCTGACTTATATCAGTTCCACAGCAGTTGTTGTGAATCACCTGCGATCATTAAGTGCGACATCACATGACCATGACTTGTGACTGCTAGTTTCCCCATTGACTTTGCTTATTGGAAGCTAGATATGAAGCTTGCAAATGGTGATCATGTGACCGTGGGATGCTGCAATGGTCATAAATGCGCACCGGTTGCAAAGTGCCCGAATCATGATCATGTGACCACGGGGATGCTGTGATGGTCATAAGTTTGAGGGCCAGCCATAAAGCTACTTTTTCAGTGCTGTTGTAAGTTCGAACGATTGCTAAACCGGGACTACCTGTAGTCTAGCTCTTGTCACCATCAGGAATGATTGTTAAGCTAACCAGGAATTCTCCAGGCAGCAAAGATGTAGCATTGTATTAGAACTGGTTATCCAGTTTGATTGCTCTCTTTATAAGTCAGAATAGCAAAAGGAGGATTAGACTTGATTTACAGTTCCTGGTTTGTTTGGAAGCAACAAACCAAGAGTTCTAGTTTGGATATGAAATTAAGATTTTCCTAGCTAGAGTTCTGCTTAGTTTAATTAACCTCACTGATAAAAGCAGCCAATTTGTCATCTGGTGGTGATGCAACTCAGGAGTTTATGGCTTCCTTGGCAACCACGGACTTGTCCCAAGTAATTGATGGCCTGACGTATACCAGTGGCCGCATATTAGATCTGTTTTTTGTCTCGGCAGTTGCAACTGTATCTGGTAGTGAAGAATATTAACATCTTGTCCGTTGCCATGGATAGATCACTCTCTAGTTGCCTCCTCTGGGGGGGGATAGAGCCCATTCGATCAGGTGGCCACAGTCAACTGATGGAGCCAGTGGGTTTCCAGAGGAAGCTTGGGGTTTCCCCTGAGGAAGCTTGGGGTTTTATCTGGTGGGTGATTCAGCTGAGGCCTTAGGCCTTAGTCCCTGCCTGGGACTTTGGCCTATATTACCCCTAAGCAGCCCCTCTCTATGCACAAATCCCGGGGTACACCTTGGTTTACCAAGGAGGTCTGGGATATTAAGTATCAAAAGAGATACCTAGACTGTCATTGGAGGAAGACTGGGAGCGAATGTTATCAAACACAGGTAAGAGCCTGTATTTGGGATAGCCTTATGACAATAAGAGTGGTGAAGCGTCAGTATTTCTCTACTCTTATTGTGTCCAGTGATAGTCAAACAATGGCCTGTTTAGGGTGACCCAGTCCCTGCTAGGGAGGGACAGGCAACCACATCATCTGCAGGGCCATTGGGAGGAATATTCTTACTGTTTGCCAATTAAAGTCACTTAGAACTGCTTAGGGTTGATCTTTGGGCAGGTCTGGTTGAGCTGCCTGGGACTTGGTCTTGTGGCGTGATCCGGGATGAGTTTGAGTCAATGACTCTTGAAGAAGTGGGCAGAGTTTCTGCACTGTCAGATCAGCCATCTGCTTGTTAGATCCAAGTCCCTCTTGGATTCTTAAGGTGGCACAGGAAGTGACCTGTAATTGGCTCCATGCTGTGGTGGTGTTCTCCTTGAGAGAGGGGTTGGTGCCTTCAGCTTTGAAGGAGACAGTAGTATGCCCTCTCCTTAACAAGTGATACTTAGATCCAACAGTCTTGGACAATTATCCTGTCTCCAACCATACTTTTTTTTAGGGATGGTTGTTAAGAAGGTGGTTAGTCTACAGTTGCAGAGAGCTCAGAGGAAGCAGATTCTCTAGACCTATTTCAGTCAGGCTTCAGCTGGGATTTAGTACGAAGATAGCATTGGCCAAGCTTGTTGATGACCTTCGGTGGAGTGAGGATGGGGGTGGTACATCTATCCTTGTGCTCCTCAATCTCTCAGCAGCTTTTGATACTGTTGACCATGATATTTTTTCTGGACTGGCTAGTTCCTTCATGGCCAGTTCCACTCAGGGTTGGCAGGGGGGGAATTGGTCACTTCCTAGGCCACAAGGTTCAATGGTGTCTCCCCTACTGTTTAACATCTATGTGGAACCACTGGGTATGGTGATCTGTCAGTTTGGAGTTCACTATCATCAGTATGCTGATGATACCCAATTATATCTTTTGACCTCGGGCCAGCCAAGTCATGGTCCTCTCCCAGTACCTGGAGGCTGTGTGGGTCTGGATGGGGAGAAGCCAACTCTGACTTAATCCTACCAAGACTGAGTGTCTGTAGATATAAGAGCCCTCCCCCCTCCCCCCAAATCCAGGGCTTTTATCTTTAATTTTGGATGGGGCTGCACTAGGCATTGGGATAGGGTTGATGGAGCCCCTTGTTCTGTGTGTTTTTTACAAGTTTTTGGATTGAGCCTTGCTCATATTTGTGATGTGTTCCTCCCCATTTTTTTGTCATTCCACTGCCCACTTCGATCCTTACTACTCTGGCAATCAACAGGTTGTCCGTTCTTGATCTCCATGCTCTGTGAGGTAGCCTTTACCCTATATGATATCTAATTGTTCTTCTCACCTGTAATAGTAATTCACATAGATTTAGGTTTTAACCTGTACTTTTGCAAACATTCTTTTTTCTTTCTTTCTTTTTGCTCCATTTAGGAAAACAAAGATTTAACAGTTAGTTGTCTAACATCCACTCAGGAAGAACAGGGCCAAAGTATTGTTCAGCCTGTCATGAATGCCAGTTCTCCCTATGGGATTGATCTTCCTGGATTAAGGTATGGAGATTGATTTTCCAATTGCAGGTATCACCAATAATTATTTTGTATGGTGAGAGAAGCACAAATACTTTTTTTTTTTAGTTCCAATACCAGTAAAATTGACTGGTAGCAGTTGTTTTCCTCCTAACATAAGCCTCGGACAGAAAATACTGCACAAGTTGATTCCTTTTGAAAACATTGATTAGGGTAGCTGTCTTAATCAACCAACACTGAAAGCATGAAACAAAGAAAAAGTCATGGCTGCCTTTATTTCCAAAACTGACGGTTAATCCCTTTGAAAATGCCCCAGTTCTTCAATTAGGTTTAATTTTTTAAAAAATTCATCTAGTCTACAAGATTGCACACCATTGTCTTAATGCATTTTCTAGTGCCACTCAGCAAGATAAGAAACTAGAAGAGGTTCATGTGCATAAGGAGGCTGCAAGTCAGACTTCCCCACCTTCATCTGTATGCCCTCCCAGTACTGTAAAATCACCCAGGACAAACACCACTTCATCCACAACCAATGCAAACACAATGCCTGCTGTAATTATACAGGTAAGTGTACTACTTTCTGTCATTTTGGATAGTTTTAATAAACCACCTTCCAGTTTGTATAGTAGAGGTACTGGTGAGTACAGAATTTAACCTTAAAAAAAAACTGGAATAAAAATGTAAGACTTGTTTGGATGAAAAGGGTAGAAGAGCAAATATATACAATTGCTAAATAAGGCTTTAATTTTAAATTGTCACTAGCATGTGCACCTTGATGATACCCCTTGACAGAGGTATATTACTTTTTCTTTTGGTAAGGAACCCCGGAAGCTCAGTTATGCTGAAGTTTGTCAGAAACCTCCAAAAGAAGTACCTTCTGTTCCTGCTCAGCCACTTAGGGAGCTGCGTTCTAATGTAACCTCCCCTGCCAAAACAGAAGAAAATGGCACCCATGAGAAAGCTGGAGAGAAGGCACATGAAAAGTCTGAAGGACGGATGAAAGACTTTGCTGTTTTCAGAGGCAATGGTCCTCCCAAAGGAGCTGCAGGAAAAATCAGGGAACAGAGGCGCCAATGTGGACGTAGGTCTTCTCCTCAGGGAGCGCCTCGGCGAGTTGGCAAGGAACAGTGTGTGCCACTGCGATCACCAAAGGAAAATTGATCAAACTTTTTATTTAATCAGAACTATGAACTAAAGAGCAGTAGAGGAGAAACTGGCCAGCTCAGAGAAATATAAATATAGGAAAAGTGGACAGTAAATTCAAGAGCACAGGGTTTGCAATGTGAGAGAGCTTAAAGGGATCCCAATATTCATCTCGAAGTGATACAAAATGCTGGAGAAATAGAATCAATATAAATATGATAAAGATTATAATTTTTGTAACTTTCTGTTTTTAATTTCTTGTTTGAATTAGATTTTTGCATTATGAATTAGCTTATTAAAGATGAGGAACAAATATACATATTAGCATGTTTCTTACTTGAAGAGGGGGCAAATATTTTTTTTTTTGGAAAAAACTGTAAAAGATATAAATTACTTTTAAAAATCTATTCAAGGTATGGCTTGTAAGATGACATGTATGCCATTAATGGCCTTGCATTACAATTCAGCCCCAAAACTGACATGCTTGGTCAGTATGAATGAGTGTAGCCATATACCTGTTATGTCATGATTTAGTCACTGATGATAACTGATTGTACTACTGTAGGCTTTTGTGTTTTGGAAATATAGTCTTTGACTTTACTAATTTTGGTCAGCTTTTAAAACTGTATGATTTTATTCTGGAGTATGCAAACAGCAAGATTAGTAAACAAGGAATAGTGGGTAAGATTTTAATTTGTTCCAGCATTTTCTCTAATTAGGGATAGCATTGTTTTATTTTTTCACTGCTTTGATGTTTTCTCTGATCCTTTATTACAGAATTAAGCACATCTAGCTGGAATGTAGTTATTCTGGTACTAATGCAGAACTAAAAATAGGAAAAGTGAAAACTGTACAGTAAACATTACTTTGCTGCATTGAATTGAGTTTTTCAGCTCTTTAATATGCTGAATTCTCTAGAATGAGGCAAGATAATTTTGGAGGTCTGACTTCACTTTAATAAATAGTCTGGCCACTCTAGGGCCATACTTTGATATACTGAAAACACTTTTTCTAATTGAAGGAGCTTCAATCTATACCAGAAATCAGGTTTTATTTAATGGGGAGACTAAATACAAAGATTAAGTTTCCCTGTTTGATAGAGCTGATAACTGAAAATTAACTTACTTTTTTAATAAATAGTCTGGCCACTCTAGGGCCATACTTTGATATACTGAAAACACTTTTTCTAATTGAAGGAGCTTCAATCTATACCAGAAATCAGGTTTTATTTAATGGGGAGACTAAATACAAAGATTAAGTTTCCCTGTTTGATAGAGCTGATAACTGAAAATTAACTTACTTTGGAGAATATTGGCAAGAACATTAGCATAGCCTTATGTTAATTAGAATAACAATGTTGTGCAACAAGCAGTGTGGTTTACAACCTGATGATCGTAGTACTTAAGAAAAGAAATAGGACAATTACAACATGTTTATCTTCCAGAATCAGCATGCTAGAGTTCAAGGTTCTGTATTAAAGTGTTAGGGGAAAATATATCGGATTCTTTAGTTAGTAGCAAGTATACAAATCTAAAGTCATTAGTTGTGAACACTGGAAAACTCAATTGTGAGACACCACCATGCATTTTTAGTTTGTGTACGTTAGTGATAACTTTAAAATGTCAGTGGCAGATAAATAATTAACTGTGAAAATGTTAATCTTCTGAATTTTCTTAGCCAGAAATGTTTTGGCAGTTTCTTATTCAGTAGACATTCTCTATCAATGGCTTTGAGAACACTCATATCTATTTTTATAAGTATGTGTGTGTGTGTGTGTATATATATATATATATACACACACACACACACACACACACATATATATATATATATATATACACACAAATATATATATAAAGTCAGATTTGTCATTTCTCTAACTTATTCAGCTTGGCAATCACTTTTTTTATTTGGTTGAGAAGTGTAAATGTACTTAAGCAGTAGATATTCTTTTTCTATGCATGTTATTAATCATTTCTCATTTTAAAGTAACTGCTAGCCTTGGCAGTCTTTACATTAAAACAAATAATTGATCACGTCTCTTAAGTACAAACCCACTTTGGTTTACTCATAATGCTATTTTTGATGGACATAACACAAAAGGTGAAATGCTTGAAAGTGTTAAAGAGTTCTGAAAAATGTATAAAACTACTTCATTTTAACAGACCCATAAATCTGATTATTGCACTTGGAATGGAAGAAGTTGAACTGCTATACTATAGTTATTCTTAGGATAGATCAGGCAGTGTCTCATTGCAAACTAAAGATGTATTTGAAGTAACAGTTGTTGGGAGTTATTAAAAAAAATTGCTGTTCAAGAAGAATACAATTTTGTGCAAAGATGCTACTTAAAATAAGTTACCTGGCAATGCAAGCATGTGAAATCTAACTCTGTTTATATGTCCATGCTTGAGTGGAATCTTGTATTCAAAGACGGATCAACAAAATGTAACTCTTTTCTTTACTGGATATTGAAGCAAATATAGCTCACAGGCATTTTCTTGTGAGGGAAAAAAATTGATTGTGGGAAAGGATGTGTTGTACATCCTGAAGTTTATGTCTGCGCATGTGTGCTTTTCCCACACAAGTGGCTCTTGTGCAATGTATGTGTAAAGTGTGTAAAAGCAGCTTTTCTAATGTCAGATTAATACCTTGGAGGGATTTATTAAAACTGAAGTGTTTGATAACTGTTTCCTCAGTTAACATGTTCTCTCCATTCTCTTCCACTATCCCTTCCTATTTTGTTACCATAAATACCTAAACCTGTAAATTTTAGATAGAAGGAATGACGAAGTAAAAAAAGATAGAACCATATGCTATATGCTGTTAACTTTTCTTGCAGTTACTTTTGAGTGACAAAGATATTCGGGCTAATTATTATTCTTCATTCTCAAAGAGTGTCTTGGATTTTCATCAGTCTTCCCATTTTATTTTAGACATGAGACACAGTAACTTTTTAGGTTCGCTGTCAGGGCAATTTTACTATCTTGCTGTAAGGATGTGCAATATCGGTAGTGCTTGTTTTCTGCATAGCTGTGCATTAAATGTAAATGAGCAAATCAGAATGGTTAAAACTGAAAGTTGATGCATTGATCAACTTGTAAATCATTATGTCTCAGCAATGGTTGAATGTAAAAGATATGCCCAGTATAGTTTATACTGGTAAATGTAATAAAACAGGCATTTTCATTGTAAATACTGGAACAGCAGAGATAAAGCTGATGTTTGCATTTCACAGAGCATCAGTGCCAAAACTGTCAACTAAGAGACAATTGTATTTCCCTTTCAATAGGTCATCATTGGATGTACATGCCTTTTACCCTTAAAGTTTTAGTGAAATTTAATAATATGCAAGATGATAAAGATCACAATTACCTTTGTTTCCTGAACTTGTATTGATGGTTACCTTGTGAAGGGAGCTCTTTGTTAGCAGGAAATTTTGAGTTTTCTACACATTTCTATATTTTTAGTATTGGTCAGTAACTCTGAGCCATGGTATTGTACTTCTGCTCTAGAAGGGAAAAGGGGGAGATTCTTCATACATGAAACTTGCATTTCTATTTGCTTTCTCTTTTTTTTCCCAAGGTAGCTTGGAAAGTTGTGATGCTGTTTTAACAGATTAAAATCAAACCCTTCTTATTGACCTGAAGATATGGGCAGATCAGTAGCAATTAAGTGACTTAAGCAATGCTTTACTATAATTTAAATAGCTATGGCCTTATTACTTCGTCAGTATCAGCTAAATGTCTGAATATATCCACTATTTTTATTGTCATCCAGTGAACATTCACTTGGGTAAAAGTTCCTGCTACATGTGTACAGATTATTTTAAATTTATAAAATGCAACATTGTATACTGATAAAATGCAACAGAAATGCACTTCGGGGTGGGGGTTGCTTAAACTTTTGTAAACTGTTGATTACAAGAAATATGCAATAGGTTTTTCTTTTAACTTTTGATATTTTCTTCTGAAACATAAGATCACCATCAGTCTGTAATGGTCTATCATGCTCTTGTGTGTATGTGAGAGAGAATCTATTATATAGTGTTGGCTTCCTTTAGGATGGTACCTCTGATTCACCCCCCCCTTTTTTTCTTTGGATGAAGGTTAGTTGCGTCTTCAGCCCTGGACTCTTGAAGAGATGAGAATGAGTGTATTAATGTAGACTTAAGATTTAGTATAGAGCTAACCTGTTAACAACTTCTACAATTTTATTTAATGACTTTAAAAAAATCAGTTATGGATAAAATTTCCCTCGCAAAGAAATTTCTAATGTAAGTGTTGGTGTGCAAATGGCTTCTGTTTTAATAAACCAAACTACTCAGCTGTATCTTTCCCAAAAAAGTTTGACTTCTGTGACACATCTAGTCTCACTTATCAGAGTGATGGCTTCAGTTAAATAATATATATCTCAATTACCTGGCTTATCTATTTTTATCAGTTTGGTTTATTCCTGTTGTCAAAGCTGTCTAATCCAAGAAATTGTGTAAAGTAGGTTCATGCTTAATTGTTAAGATTATACATGTATTTGTATTTGTTTTTGACATTGCCAAGGTGCTATGGGAAATTGAAATAACAGTTAGAAGGAAATAATAAAAGCCACCTTAAAAAAACAAACTTTGTTCAGATGTTAAATGATTTGTTGTATTAAAGGAATAGCAAGGGAAAATCTGTTTAAATCCAACAGAGGATTAAAACTGGGAGGTGAGAAAACACATTGATAAGTAGTGAAAATAATCCATGAAACTGAAATGGGCCATTTCCTTCATTTGCATATTGGTTCCTTTATGTAAGTTAAATAAGTGAAAGTCTTTTGAGAAGTCAACCTGTAGATTTGAGTCATACTCGATTTAAAAGGTGTTTGGGCTCTTCATTAATTAATAGTGATATAGAGCCAGTTGGATGATTTTTCTATGTAAATGTGTGTTCTAAATGCCTCCTTTATCTTTCCTTGCATTGTTTTTCCCAGTCAAGCCTCTGCCATCCTAACTGGTGGTAAATATCTATTTTTGCCATTTCCCCCCCCCCCCAATACCTTGTCCCTAGATTCCAGTTTGGGGCCAGAAGTAATAATGGGATCCTACTTTCTCTGGGAGGAAATAATTTTTAAAAAGGGAATGCATATTGGGAAAAGATGGCCTAGGGCACATCTGTTCTCAGAGGAACTGTGATGCTGTCCCATTTATTCTGCTACTCTGTTATACGGAGAGAATGAATGTAAGTTTCCATTCATGATAAAGATCCAGATCCATTAATTCACAGTGAGATCTGTGTTATCGCAGACTTTTTACCCTTTGTTTTTATTTTATTTTTCT